TGCCATCAGCCCGTTATCCCCGAGCTTTGGCCCAACTAGGCCCAAGACACAGTCTCACGAGCGGAAATAGCCCATTGCTCATTTACTTATTTATCGGGCCAGTTCGCCCAATAGCTTGGACATGTATTATGTATTTGGGCCAAGCCCACGTAGGTTAGGCTTTGGACTTGTGATGGATGCCTATAAATAGGCCATCACCCCCCATGTATTCTCTACACTATTTTACTATACGGAAATGCTGTTAGTTTCTCTACCCGAGGTATTTTCTACCAACAAAGATGATCTGAAGTTATACGGAAGCAATAATGTTGTTAATTGTAATCACACAATTAAGTTTAGATGCTCAGTGTTTTCCTTCCCAAAATTTCTCTTTCATCTGCCTTTACCGCTTAAAAAGATAGTACGAAGTATTATGAATTACTAATTCGATTCTCTATTGCTTTCATTAAGAAATGACTGCTATAATATACTCCCTCCGTCCCGCAAAGAAGTTCCCGGTTTGACCTACACACATATTAAGGAAATAAACTTACCAGGGGATAAATTTTACTGTTTTGACATTGTCTCGACACTGTTTGGCACTGTTTGACACTGTTTTGAACTGTTTGGCACTGTTTTGATGTAGTATAACTTTCCATTTAGGGAAAGAGGAACTTCTTTTTGGGACTGCTAAAAAGGAAAGCGGGAACTTCTTTGCAGAACGGAGGAGTATAACCTTCTATATTACTCCGTAATAAATAAGGAGAATACATCGAGGGAGTGGACGTATAACAAAAAATGATTTTAGGCTAAAAATGAATTACAGTATAAGAAGAATACATTCATTGAGTGTAGGCGTGGACCCGGGCCGGGCTGGTTCCGGTTCGGCCCTGGGCCCAGCAGGGCCTTTTTTGGGAAAGGGGAACCGGAACCGGCCCGGGTACGCGGCGGCGGTTCCGGTTCATTTTTTTTTTCTTATATTTCATCCCCACCCCCTGTCCCCCCCAAACCCCTCAGAAACACCCAGCCCAACTAAACCCAGCCCAAACCCAAAAAAACAAAAAAAAAATAAAAAAAAAAAAAAAAGACCCGAACCGGGCCCGACCGGGCCGGTTCGCCTTTTGCATGACCCGGGCCCGGAACCGCTTAACCCTTCGGGCCTAGGCCCGAACCAGAACCGGTTTCCCGGGCCCTGCCGGTTCTAAAAAGTACCGGGCCGATTCTGGGCCGGGCGACCCGAATCGAGTCCATCCCTAATTGAGTGGTTGTATAACCAAAAAAACTAATTTTTGCTCTAACTCATAGTGGCATAGATAAATAAAAAAAAAACTATTGTTGCACATTTTTTGTACACACACTTACACACTCGTGTTAGTGAAGTGTTTTTTTTGTCTGTATACAGACACAACTTATTTGAAGTGTTTGTGAAATAGTTGTGTCTGTATACAGACAAAACAAAACACTTCACAGACACGAGTGTGTAAGTGTGTGTACAAAAATGTGTACCTCAAGCCTGGTTGATAGATAAATACGGAGTATGTTTTTCGTTCTTCCTCGAAATGTGTATTTTTGTTCTATTTTAGGCAGTCAGTTTTCATTTGTTCTGTCATTTTCTTTTCTTTTTTATCATTCACGTCAATTTCTATTTAGAAAATAAGGAGTATATAAATTGGTGCTGTTCCCAAGAATGGGAAATATGTCTACCGACTTCGGTAATAGTCACAAGTGAATTATACGAAGTTAGGATGTACATAGTACTATCCTCCGTCACATTAGTTGCAACATTGCAATTTATACACTATTCATGTCCTCTACTTTGACTACATTTTATTTATGAATTAATGTGAATTATTATTTTTTAAAAATATGATTGAATTCATCTCATTATTAAGTTTCATAATCTGATTTGTTATCATTTTTTACTAATACATAATTAAATATAATGACGATCAAAGTTGTGCGTTGGCAAACGTGAAAAAAGGAATGTTGCAACTAAAAAAGAACGGAGGAAGTATTTATTTGGACGGTAATCTGTCCCAGTCCAGAACAGATCAGATCATACTTGGATAGTTATAAAAATACAAAGAGACCAAACATTACCAGACCAGTTCAGATCAGACCAGCAAATTACAGTCCAAGTAAAAACATCCTTAGAATGATGTTGAAAAGAAAATTAAGCATTATTCAGAAATGGCATGGATAGGCTAAATGGCAGTTTTTAGAGCAACATAAAACGTCCTTAGAATGATTTTGAAAAGAAAATTAAGCATTATTCAAAAATGGCATGGATAGGCTAAATGACAGTTTTAGAGCAACATCAAAATTTTCCTTTTTTATCCTTGCAAATATGACATACTTTGTTTTAGGTCCGTACATTTTTTTTGTTTTTCATCCCTATAGTATGTACTCCCTCTGTCTCATTTATATTGCCCCGTTTTATCTTTTCGGGAAGTCCCACTTAAATTGTCCCATACCATATTTGGCAAAGTTTGTGTGGCTCTAAATCATTCTTACTTTATCAATTAATATGAACCACACAAACTCACTTTTCTTAATAACTGTGTTACCCTCTTCCGGGACAATATAAAGAGAAAATTCCCTAACTAGGAGCTAAACATAACAAAAGTGCAAAACTAGGAGTTGTATGTTCCGTAAGAGTTAATAGGAGTAAAAAAACATGAGCTGACAAAAATACCCTTAATGAAAATCACACTTCATTTGTTAATAAATACAATAGAAAAATAAAATAAAAGCATAAAGACAGCTCCACCAGACAGCTCCACCGTATACAACCACCAGTTGCACAAGTCACTCCCAACACCACCAACCCCTAGATCGGCCGCCGCCGCAGGATGCTCCCGCCACCGGATATTGCCGTCGCCGCCGGATGTTGCCGCAACCGCCGGGTGCTGCCACCAGTCTCTGCTGTCAGCCATCTCAGTTTCCAGCACCACCATCACCATGACCGCTGCCGCTGAATTATGTGCCACCGCCACCACATCCCGCATCATCTAGCTTAGCCTCTTCTGCCTCTAGCAGTACTGATCTAAAATATGAAAATTAAGAATGTTTTAGAGTATCATCTCACCATTTTAATGCCATCTCACCACTTTAATGTCATCTCAAAATGGCATTATTCGCCATGTTTTTATTTATAAAAAGATATTTTTGCATTTAGTGCCATTTGTATGACACCAACTCATGTATTTGCCATCATAAACAAAGGCATTATATGCCATGAAAAAATACTTTAGAATGACAATTATGGCAATCTCAGATTCAAACCAGAGAATAATTTTTTTTAAACAACCAGAAAATAATCTGAAAAGTACAAAAATATTGATTGAAACCAAATGCAAAAAATTATATTAAACTATAAATTAAATCTCAAAAGCACAAAGCTAAAAGAAAAATGAAAGAGAAAACAAAAATTCAATGAAAAAGTTATATGAGTATAAAAATATAAAATTAGATCGGTTAAGAAAATAAAATTCAAGCAAAAATCAAATAAATCAATTGGTCCTAAGCAAGAGCAAGCCACCAACTCCACGTTGCACAAAACAAAAATCTATAACACGGATTGAATTAAAACAAGAGAAAAGAAGAAGGGGAAGAATGTGTGCCACCGATTTGAAGATTCTGTCGATTGATATAAAAAGAAGAAGGGGAAGAAAAATTGAAGAAGAGGAAGAAGAAGAAGAAGAAGAAGAAGAAAAATGAAGAGTAGTTTAAAACTTACCTATGATGAACGCCATCATCCGCCGGTAGCCAGAGCTAGAGAAAACGAATCACCATTCAAGTCTAGATCTGTAATCTGCCGGAGATGGAGACTGAGAGAAATTAGATCTGGAAATTAAATGGGTGAAAGAAATCCTGAAGGAGAGAGGATGAGAGGAGATCATAAGATAGAGGGGATGGGTCGGCTACGGTTTGGGTGAGAAAGCACGGCAAAGAAAAAGGAATCCAAAAATAAAATAATCTAATTTATGAACAGGGGTATAGTTGGCAAAAGAAACGGTCCACTCAACAACTAACTCTTATTTAGGGAATAAATAAATAGGAACTCCCATTTTGGAACTTTATCATTGTTTTGCTCCCATTTAAGACAATTTCTTCAATATAAATGGGACGGAGGTAGTACTATTTTATTTTTAGTCCATAACTCCTAAATCCCTCTACTCATAAATGGGAAATTCTTACATATAAAATTCATGTTAGGAAATATTGTTATTATTATTGGTGAATGAAATCACCAATCTAAACATCACTTAGTCTATTAATGTTGATAAATAAATGGGAGTCATACGACACATCAACGGTAGGAAATAAAAAACTATGTTTTTCAATTCAAACAAATCTAAATGATGTAAGATTTAGTTCAAAACATTTTCTAAAGAACATTTAATAATCAAAATATGTAAGGTCTAAACTCTAAATTACTTTTCTGACTAAAGTGTAGAGGGTCATTTTATTTAATTCTCATATAATATCTAAAATGCCCTTGAAAATAATAATCACATCATGTGCTTATAAAAAATAACTTCGAAACTATTTTAACTTATTTTGTTTATTTTTAAGAGAGAGGGGCGAATACCAAAAAATTGAAAGACTTAATTTTATATGGCAAAGATTTCTCTTTTACTATTCATGGTGGGTCTCTGGTAGTTAAAAGATTTTTCTTTGACCTTCCTAATGAACTTTTTTTTAAAGCAAAACCTTCATAATGAGCAATTTGTATTTTTTAGTAACAGCCATGATATGTATTCAATGCTAACAAAAAATGCAAAGTAATTCAAAATCACAATGTATATAATGATGCACTTTAGAGTGTTACTACAAACCAAAAATCAATTATGAGTTGTATAAATAGGTACACTTTAGATAGAGACATAGGGTAAAGGAATAGCACCACATATTTCTACTCTGATCTGTTAAGCTTACTCGATCAGAATTATATTGATCATAAATAAAGAAATTGAAATCATTAAATTCAAGTTAATTTAACCAAAACGGAAATATACCTTACTGTAGTCCCGTTAGGAAGATTTACGGTCACTCTCCTGTGTGTTGATACCTCACGCCACTAATCACCACTATTAAAGAATGTATAACACGCATAATTATAGACTTCGTCATATACAATATCCAAACACATATTTGAGTGGTTATCCACAATCATGTACATCATAAATTTCAATTGATAATGCAAACCGACCATGATGCAAATCTATCTTTACAACATTATATTTCTTTACTATCTATGGTTAGTAACAATAGATAATTGAGTGGATGAATTTTCTTTCTCACATGTAGTATTTTTGTACTTCGTATAAGATAAGCGGAATAATAAATGAGCGGGATAATATTCTCTCTTATACGTAGTGCTTTTAGGTATAAGAAGATAATATAAATGGAGTAATAATTGAGTGGCATAATTTTCTATCTCATATGTAATGTTTTTAGGTATATTAGATAAGCGGATCAATAATTGAGCTGGAGCATTTTATCTTGCACGTGTAGTGATTTTAGGTATTAGATAAACAGACTAATAATTGAGCGGATGAATTTTGTCTCTCATATGTAGTGGTTTTAGGTATAAGATAAGCAGACTAATAATTGAACGAGAAGAAATTCTCTCATATGTAGTCTTTTAGGTATAAGGTAAGCGGACTAATAATTGAGCAAGAAAATTTTCTCTCGCATATGCAGTGCTTTTAGATATAAGCTAAACAGACTAATAATTGAGCAGGAGAATTTTCTGACTCATATGTAGTGTTTTTACGTAAAAGATAAGCGGACTAATAACTGAGGGAAATAATTTTGTCTCTCATACGTAGTGCTTTAAGGTTTAAGAAGATAAATAGACTAATAATTGAGTGGGAATTTCCGTCTCAAGCGTAATGTTTTTAGATATAAGAAGGTAAGCTTACTAATAATTGAACGAGATAATGCTCTCTGTCATGCATAGTGCTTTTAAGAATAAATAAAATACGGGGACTAAATATTGAGCGTGTGAATTTTTCTCTCATATAAAATGCTTTTACATATAAGATAAACAGACTAATAATTGGAATACTCCAAAATTCTTATAAAATGCACATTGTTTTTCAAACAGACTAAAAATACCCCAAACTTTGAAGGGGTGTAAGGTAAATACCCCAAACTTGCATTTGTAATTTAAATACCTCAAACTTTACATAAAAAGTTGTTTTTCACCATTTTCATGTATTATTTCTTTTAAAAAAAAAAAACCTTAACTGCTAAAGAATGAATGAAAATAATTTCTACGCATACTTTTTCTGGAAAAATCAGAATGTTATGCTTCCAGCTCACTTTCAAAGCCTGCTTTGCTCGAACAAGAAGCTGCACATGACATATATGATCACGATGGATATGAATTAGGGACTAATAATTCAGGAATCTTCAAAGCGCTCTCGAACATCAATTTTAACATTAGAATTGCTTCTATTGAAGCAATTGGTGCCGCTTTAGATGATAACCCTGATATTCATGATGCAGGACATGATGAGGACATCATTGATACTGGCTGGATAGGCAGCCAAGGGATTGCATTGGCTTTACACTCTGCAACTTATGGGTGTGTACCATTTCAAAATTCATTTTCCACATCTCAGGTTTTTGCAATAAGCAAGATTAATGGTCATGAGAGTGCTATGATTGGCTTCACAAAGGCTCTAGAAGAATTGGGGACAACTATATGTGAACCAATCAAACTGCTAAAGTGGTTTGTGGATCTGAAGGCTGAACCCAACCCAGGAAATGAGTTGACTATCAGCTTATATACACACGGGAACTGTTGTGAGCAATGTGCAAACCAAAAGTTCCAGAGATGGACATATGCTAAAGGCAATTGAAGATGAAACTTTACAAGCACCCTAACCTTCATTCAAGCTTATTACATTATAGAGATTTAGTTCTCTTATTACAACAATAATTATGGAATAATAGAGAGAATTATTAAGGCCAACTGTTACTAAGTTAAATTAGCCCTATAAATATCCCATCATTTGTAAGTAAAACAGGTAAAATGGAATATTTGATCAGGATTACCACGACCTTACCCTACTAGGTGGTCTTTATTATAGGCTAAAAAATGATAGAAATTACGAGATGAATACTTACACTACATCTCCTGATAATGCCTTTATTTCTCTTTCGCTTTCTTTTTCGTGTGTTGGTATTCTTGATCGAGTTTAACTAAACCTCTACTTATAATAGTTAGGGTATTGGGAACACGTTTGGTAATACCCAAATTATTGGCTAACTCTGCTGAAACTTATGAAGTTACGACTGAAGTGACTGGATTGGTTGATTCTGCTGATTTATCAAAAAATTATAATCACAATATATTTTATTAATAAAAAATATATATGAAAAACAGCTAAGATGATCCTCTACGGTAACTTCGGTCAATACAACCAAGAAAGTAACTTCAATCTTACTTTATCTTATTATTACACAATTCAGCACGTGGAATTTATAAAAGTTATGTATTGTGAAAAAGTTAGTTGATAAGCTTAATCAGTCGAAAAACAAAGTCACCAAATGAGATCTAGATCATCGTAGTCATGGACCCGGGCCGTGTCAGGCCCGGGCCCAGGCCGGGCCTCAGGTTTTTTAAAGGAGGCCCGGGACCGGCCCGTGCTATGGCCGGTGCCGGTTCGGGCCGGGTCACCCGCCCGGGTCACGGGTCGGGCCACCCGCCGAGCCTGGCCGGGTCAGTTTAATTTTTTTTTGTTATGCTTTATAGTTTATACAAATGCTTATTAAAAACAAAGTTCAAGTGCATTTATTTGAAACAGGAACTACATTTGAGAATTGAAAAAAAAATACAATATGAAATACATTTTCTAATAAATAATCAATCGGAATTTCCGCCACCGTTGGTTGTTTTCTCCTTGCTTTTGCCTTTGTCACAGGCAGTGGCGTATCCAGAAAATTTGGCGAGCCGGGGCTAACTTGACTACAATTTAGTCTCATATTTCACAAATAACAAATCACATTATTAGTATTGTTTGATTAAATTTAGATTATAATATCTACAGTATGAATAAAAAGAAGATTAATTTATATTACGGGTGTGCAAAGATGTAATTGCAGATAAAATGTAATAAATTTACCTAAATATAAGTTAAACAGTCTTAGGGTCTGTTTGCAACAATTTCTGCTTTTAAAAAATTGCTTTTTTAATGAAATGGAGAGAAGTGATTAAATAAAAGTTGAAAGCGTTTGAGAAAAAAGTGATTTTGAAAAGTAAAAGTGAGTAGTGTTTGGTAAAATAAGTGCTTTTTGTGTAATAGAAAAAGTAAAAGCACTTTTGACGCGGAAGCCGAGAAAAATAAAAGTTGTAGTGTTTGGGAAAATAAGTGCTTTTTTAAAGCCAAAAGCTGAGAAGTGCTTTTTTAGAAGCAGTTGCAAACCAACCCTTAAACACAACAAAATTTAGTGAATTGTTTAGCCTTTCATTCTTTTAATATTAAAGAAAACACTTCTAATCCTATTTTAGATTTTTTTTTTCTACATTTAACTCTTAATTTGAGCAATTTCTTGTAAAAATTTGGACATATATATAGGGAGGGGTTGGGTTGGGGTTGAGTGGGGGCAGCTGCCCCCGCTGCCCCCATAGTGGATACGCCACTGGTCACAGGACTTAATATGTCTTCTGGGCATCCCGTATCCGTGTGAACGCCTCAAGCTACACTCTTTCTTGCACCACCTGCAAGTTGTCCACCACATCCCGGTCTTCGGGTCCTTCCACATATCAAAATTGTTTTGCATAAGGGAAGATTTACTTTCCATCTTTAAAATGGTAGATTGGTAGATGTATAAGTAGGAGAATAAGAGAAGATGAAGTTTGAGAAAAGTTGGAGAAGTGGTGTGGAAAAATGTTTAAAATTAGGAGTAATTATAGTTTTTTTAACCCCACCCCCAACCCAACCCTTCCCCACCCCTCAAAAGGCCCGGACCCCCCCCCCCCCCCCCTACAACCCACCCAATGGCTATATAGCTGTTTGAGAAGTGGGTGCCCAGCCAAACGGCTCCTTTGGAGCAAAAAGATTTTTTTTAAAAATGATAGCCATTGGGGACCCGGACCCGGGCCCGACCCGGCCAAGCCGGGTCACCCTTTTACGAAACCGATCCCGCCCCCCGCTTCGGGTCAACACCCGGTCCCGGACCGTCGGACTGGGCCGGGCCGGGTCACGGGCCCGAACTGACTCCACCACTAGATCATCGGATGTATTATTAACCAATTTTTCAGCAATAGTAGAAAGAGTTGTCGACCATTCATGGAATCATGGGTCGTGATTGCAATAATGAACAATATAAATTTATCTTACGAAAATATTTAACTTTTATAATAGTTACATTCAATTTATCATTTTTTGGGTTGAACTGATGATTGTGTAAAAAATTAAAGGATAAGGATCAAATTTGGACACTGTATCACATGAGATTCTCATATTGACCACTATAAAGTTTCAAACGGATAAAATAGAACACTATAGTTAACATGTAAATCCCTTATAGCCACCAAAATTTCATAATTCATGATTTTTGGACTCACGTGCGATTCTCTTTTTCCTTTAATAAAATCCTTAGTCTTATTATTACTCCGTTTTGCATACGTGCCAGACTTTTTCTTAGGATCCCCTTGACACCCTTAAACCCGTGTGCAAAATGAAACTTTAAACCATACGCATCATCAACTGGGATTACACAAATGTAGACGACAGTCGACAGCATAAAAAGGAATACAACATAATCAAACTAAGAACAAGAACTTTCTAAACCATACATGCATTCCTTGGGAATAGTATAACACTATAACTACTTATCCGATCAAAGATTCAAAACTAACAGTCCAATAGTTAAGGTAACATTGCTGTTCACGTTAAACAAGCACAGCTTTCAGGGTAGTTTGGGGACAACCGAGTTATAATGCTCCCCGAGTCCATAGGCATGCCTGTGGTATGACAACAAGATACTATCCGGCCCAAACGAGGAGGTCCCACCATTTGGCTCATCATTATTATAATATTCCTTTCCCATCTCCACGTCTGGGAATGACCCCGAATATATAACAACATGTTTCTTCAAGACATGAGTAAGGGCACCAAGCTCAAGTTGACCGCCCCACACAGCCGTTGACTCCACTTCTCCACAATAATCTTCAAACCTCTTCAAAACGGAGTCATCATGACCCAGTGACCCGCCCACTTTCTCAGAGAGGAAAAATGGAAGGAAGTACGACGAGTGTTTCCGCATGTAACCCGCCGCCATCTGGCGGAGTTCTAAGTAAGTATAAGGGCACGCGCCTCGGGATTGGATGCTTAACTGGTCCTCAACGGCTCTGTATAGACAGTGCCCGTCGGGCTTTATTTGGTTAACGGTGAGCCCAAGTGGTCCGAGTTTCTTAACCAGCTTCTCGTCCTCAATAGCCCGATCGCTTTGGATATTACTCTGCTCTTCTTGGATCCTCTGCTCCCGAGCTGCTTCTTGTTGGGCTCTTTTTTCACGCTTCTTGACGCTCTTACTGGGCTTTGAATGGTCAGAATGGGCCATGTGCACTGATATGCCTGCTATCGCATTGACTAAGTTGTTTAGATCTCCTTTACTGTCCTGGTCGTTGGTGTTATTACCATTATTAAACCCTAAAGAAGCGAGCTCACGGTTGTGCATGTCTTTGAGTTCGGCAGAGAGTTTGGATATCTCTTCGTCCACCTGTTTCTTCTTAGCTCTCTGCTCTGCCTTGCTGCCTTTTGCAGCTACCTTTTTCATTGCGGTTTCCTTGTCTTGCAGCCTGGAAATCTCGTTCCTGTGTAGAATGCGGTAAACTAACATTTACACCCTCCCTCTAAAAAAAACCTCTTCAGTCAAGCAAATCTAATTCTCCTATTCATGTAATTTGATTAAAAAAAAGAGTTCAAACTTAAAACTTACAAACAAGATTAATTCAATAAATATAGTTTATCCGAGAGAATTTATTTTTAAAAAATTACAGGGCTCTGTGAATAAGAATAGTGCCTTGCAAAATTTAAAAGGTTGTGCCACTTTTTTTGACAGGCTCAAGAATTCCTTTACATGAAAAACCTTTTTTGAGTAACATTTTACAAAGGTTGTGCCACTTTTTTTTACAGGCTCTAGAATTCCTTTACATGAAAAACCTTTTTTGAGTAACATTTTACAAAGTATCCGTACTGACATTAAACAACACTTAAAAGTTCTTTTTAAAGAAGCAATTGACATGTAATTCAATTCAAAAGACACAAAACTGCCCTAAGAGACACAAAACTATTTTTGGTTGTGCTGCTACTAGAACCACTTTTTTATCTGAACAATTTCTCTTAGATCAGCTATAAACAATAGCACATCCAAACAAACCCCCACAATATTTCTATTTAGATTGGGACAATTCCATAAATAAGAAACATAATGCAGTTACTCACATTAAACCATGACCATCATGCTTTTTATTCTACAAATAGAACTCATTTATATTTCCTAAAAGAAGTGTTTAAACCTTCATTCAAGACTGCATGAGCCTTATTTTAGGATAAAACAAAGACACTCCTATTAGACTATTAGTACATATGATTCTTGTTTTACTCCTATTTGTTGATTTTGTTTAATTTGGATTTCTTAGATTCTTAGTCTTTATGTGATAGAAATATATAAACATAATGAGTTTGAACAAATGTCTGAAAACAATTTATTAACTATGAAGCATATTTTTTCCTCAAATTTCTCTGGTTTATTTCTCAAACTTTACAGGTTCCAAACAGACCCAAGTTGTTTTCTTTCCTTCCCAATTTTTTCTCACACACTTTACAGGTTCCAATTTCCAAATATACCGAAATTGTATTGTGACGCAACGGCATAACAAATTTTCTAACACAGCTACATAAAATTAAAGGAAATGATTATTTTGGAATGAGTAATATACTGACAAAAAGTAAAGCAAGTTTGCCAAACTAATATGAGTATCATATAGTAATATATATACATAATAACCTGTGCCTACTAAGCATCTCCTCCAAGGTCTCTTGCTTCTTCTGAGAATCATTTTCTGAGGTCAAATCAGACAATTCATCCTCTACTCTAGGTATGTCCTCCATTAGAAAGTTCGAATCTAAATCCAAAGCAAGCATATCATTATAGGGGTGGGAAAGGGCCGGGGA